CAGCAAAAGATAATGCAGATTTGTGAAGCCATTAGTAGCAGGCCTACCTTTCTTTATCAACTTCTGGAAAAAAGATGTCTATTTATGCCTCCTATATCCTGATAAACTCTGAACTTAACAACTGTGAAATGGCACTACTTGAGCCTAATGCCAGGTACATATTAACAGACTTAGATGTCTTAATAAGAATTTGCTTTTTAATATCAGCTTAAGTTTTGCCCAAATATTTCTGTCATAGGCTTTTTGATTATTTTAAGATTATTTTTGGATATTGTTTCTTGGAGGAAGGAGGACTTTGGTCTGCAGCAGGATGCTGAAATGGTCAGATGAACATTTGCCTTGTTATTTAACTGCTTGCATTAAAGTATTCAAATATATGTATATGGCAACAGCCGTATTGAACCATGGCAGAATAATATATCTTTTTAAATGATCAGCTGGGCTGAATGTGGTATAAACAGGAAATATTACCACTTTCTCTAACGTAATACGTAAAGAGCAACACAGACATAATATATATTGAGATAGATAAACAGCATATAAAACTACAACATATAGGTTACATTAAGGAAGAAAGAAGAGATACTGATACAGTAAAAGTACAGTTACACTTTTGAAAATTTAGAGCTGCATTAGCTATGTGACTGAAATACACTTCAGAGTTGCAGTCATTCACCTCCTCCYGAGGGAGGAAAGCTCTTTGCTCTGTGCTTTTTAAAAATGTTGCAAGGGAGTATACAAAAATGGCAGTTAAAAATAATAATAATTTACCCTTCTAAGTTAGTAACAGTCCCRCTGAAATTACTTGCCCCAGTCCATATATTTTTTTATCCTATCTGAGYGTAAGGTTTAATGAACCTTTTGTAAGAAATTGATGCTAGTGAGGAAAGAACCAGACTATGAATATATGGAATATATTAACAGCTGACTTCTTAAATAAAAAACAACAACAACAAAAAACAGAAAAACAATACTTTTTGCTAACTATTTGTGCTTTAATCAGGGCAGGACTAAAGAGATCCAGGGAGAAGACTGTAACAGCCCTGGTGTAAGCTGGGAAGGACTTCGTGSATATTAATGAGTTACACAAGAGAAAAACTACTGTGAGCAGCAGAAATGCCCTTGCTCACTGAAAAGGGGTTGAAGTACCGAAAAGGAAGACCTGCATGTTTGACATTTTGCATGTCCAAGATATGTTTTTATATATATATATATTATATATATATATTCTTTTATATATACATATATATAAATTTGCACTCTTGGGCAATTAAGTTGTTATTCTCTCTGCTTTGACAAAGTATTTCTGCTTTCCCAGTGCCACTGTGAACTCACTGTCATTGAAAATAGTGAGGATTGTAGCTAAATAAGTTTAGACTTTGTATAGTTGGGTGATAGATGATTTGGATGCTAAGGGTTAGCAGATAGTGTATAAGATTAATGGAAAACCTACGACTTTCTTGCATGAAGGAGACCAGGCAGGATACCCCTGAAACACATAAAACAGCACAGCACTAGACAGCTATGTTTAGGCATCTGAATTGCACCTAGATTACTCTGAGTTATGGACGTACGCACAGGCCCTTAATGTTGAATTGGGCCAGGTATTTACTACAGTGATTTATAYATTTAAATGCATGGAAATAGGAAGATAGCTCAAGAATGTAAATCACAGCAGATTTTCCAGGCTAAGTAAATTTGAAATAAAACACTAAGTTGTATTCTGAGTTGTACAATGCACAGAGGGAGACTCTAAATTTTGACAGTTACTGCAGGATTATGTGTGGGAGAAGGTTTGACTGAATTATTAAAAAAAAAAAAAAAAGAAAAAAGAAAATTGCCCTCCCAACAAATTGCTTTTTGAGGCTTGGGAATTTTTGTTATGCCGTGATATTTAGGATAAATTAACTCAGCGCACTACAAGAGAGTTGCAAAGAAGTAAATACAGGTACTTCTACTACGCTAACCTCTGTTACCTTCTCTATTTTGAACATTTCCAGTGATATTTCAGTGAYAGGTCTTGGTCATGTTTTAAAATGCCTCTGGTTCATAGCATATTTTTGCTGTGGATGTGCTTGAAGAATGGAGACAGTAAATGAACATGAAAGTTGTTCTCTTCATCTCTGTGCAAGATAGATACCATGCTACTGTGAGTAAAATTATCTTTTGTTCAGGAGTCTTGTACAAAATCACTCTATCAGTTAAGTCCCAAGTGTTCCATTAAAGTGCAGCTTGGAAGGGATTTAACAGATTCACAGGCCTTCCACTGGCCAGCAATTTGAGGACAATGAAGTAAGTCAGAACTTATGATAATAGCTTTGCTATGTTATATTTTTATAGTTAAATGGACTGTTTCTCATGCTTACCAAATTGTTATAAAGATCTCTGGAATGAATTCATAGAGGGAAATACTTGGTAGTTTATATTGCATAGTCCAGCATTTTGTGCCGAGCCAGAGTTTCCACAGTTTATTATTGATTGCTGTTTCTGCTCTAGTTYTGCACTGTTTCAAACGGAGGACTTTCATCATTCTTCTGGGACTAGTATTTCATCTGATAGACTTCACTGTCAGGAAGTTTTTCYTGATAATCCTGATAGCTCTCTGCTCTGGTTTACGATAAGTGACTCCATTATTCTTTGAAATATGTGCGTGACCAGTGGACATTTTCAAGAGATTTCATTCCAAATTGGAAGACAAAAAGAATTTTAAGCAATATAGAAAATAGATAAATGGACAGAAAGAAGGTATCAAGTGGGACATACTTTGTGATAGAAATATGTTTCAGAAGTCTTCAACGTACTTTCCAGTGACACRCAATTATGATGAATATTTCTCTTGAGAGACTCAGATTTACTTTTCTAGAGAGCTAAGCTGGTTATGTCATTGTTAAGGCACTGACAGTGGAACTTCTCAAAAGTAAAATTGAAAAACTTTCTCTGCAGGAAATATGTGCATGTGGGGGCACCTTCTTCCTGTGCTACTTTCTATCGCATTTTTATCCTTTATTTGGGGCTTTGGTCAGGGGCTGTAAAGGCCAGTGTTGTGCATTTGGGTGTGGGCAGGTTGAGTGCTGTGACTGAACAGCGAGTYGATCACCAGTCTCCGTTTGGACCTTGATGAGAAAATTATGTTTTTCAGAAGTTTCTTCCCAGTTCCCATACATAAAGCAATTCCTGAAGTGTGTACAGTGAGCACGCTGCGTCCTCAGTACCTGTAACTACACTCTATACATTACTTATGTTTGGCTGTGTAATTTACTAATGTGGGTATAGCCTGAAAGACATAATAACCTTTCCTGGCTTCTTAGCCTTTAATATGAAACTTCTGTATTTCATACCTAATATAAAGTAGGAAGTTCCTCTTGCCATTGTCCTATGATAATAAAAGATTGAAGCTTTTTGAGCAGCTTGTGTGATTCTTCCTGTTAAGCTGCGAGACAATAAGAGTATCTTCAAGTAGTATTTTACCTGTCAGGAGTTTCAAAGAGGGCTTCTGGTGTGATACGTCATTTCCACAGCTTGAAAAAGAGAGTGTGTAGGAGGAAGTGATTGCCCATATGTAGTGCTGTTTCCAAATATTGTTTTATGAAAGTACTTATTAARAAGCAGGGAGAAGCCAGATGTCATGTAGAAAAACCTAGGCTTTAGGAATTATCTCCGGTCTCAGAGTTAAAGTCTGTTTGCTAAGTTGTTCTGATCTGGAGCAATTTACTTTTTATGAACTCTGACTCTTATGAGTATGAGTGTCCAGAATGCCAGCCMTTTTAGCATCATCATAACTGGGGCACGGAGCTGTCCATGGCCATTAATAACTCTTTGGGAAAGGGGACTGCTGAATGTACTAACCCTGAGGGCATCATTAAGACTATCTACAAGAATGAATTCAGTGCCTAGAACATATAATTATGCCTTCAAAATGGACTGCAGTGTTTCTTATTGTTGTGAAGTAGATTTTTCAAATTAAAGCATGAAACTTGTTAATTTATTTTTCATTAAGAACATGTGGTGTGAAGTCCATTTGAWTTTATTGTCCTGCCGCTGCTCCATATTTGATAATGGAATTTTTAAAAGAAAAAAGTTGTGCAGTTTCATTTTGACCATGATGAATATATATTTTTTTGCTCTGTGGTAGGGAAAACTATTCAGCATGAGGTCAGAAATCCATACTTCCATCCACATACTTGTCCTAATGTTTAATGGGCTGTTATATCCAGTCTGCAGTGTTGAGATTTGCTTTGGTGATCAGCCATATCCTAATTCTTCTGGCTGCTCTGTGCSCTGTGGACCCGATAGGACTGTCAGCAGAGTTAGTGGTTGTCCTAACTTTGCCGCTGTCATCAAGGGAATTTTTAAAGGTCTGAGAGAGATCTCAGTCTCTCCCCGAATGCCCGCTTTTGTTTTGCAATACTTCTACATTTGCAATATTGCATTTTCTGTGAGGGCCCAATTAGCCATCACTGATGGATAAAATAAACATGAGAGAAAGAATTCCAATCTTTTGTCAATGCACTGTCAAAATCTTTTTTCCAGTCTGTCTTTCAAGATCAGAGGAATCCCTTAGGGAAACCAACCCTGCTTAAACTTCTGCCTTTAATCTTTATTCTCAGGAACTGAACCTCCAGCAGCCAAGTATCACTGACATGCTGCTGTTTGTTAGTCTGACCAAAAAATAAATAATTACTGATAATTTGCTCCCCCACATAGTGAGGTTGCAGGTGTACTCAGGCAAATCAAGCAAGTGATTTATCAAGCTTTCTATGTACTGCATAACCTTTTCAGTGTCAAGGTATAAGGGATATCTATGCACTTAAGGTTAAATTCCATATTCAGCTTTATAGTGAAGACTGATAGATATCTATGCATCATGTGATGTACATGGAAGCTCTGAGGGCAAGTGTAAAGTGGCTATAAAAAAAGAGTCCATATTAGATCTAACAAAACGTTTTTCTCTTTGTTGGATGGTGTATTATGTTATTGCTCTGTTGTGGGTCTCTGTGCAGAAGAAGAGGAGAAGACAATACAAGGAAGCAGAGTGGATTCCCTAACAAAAACATTTTCTGCATCTGAGTTATCCAGCAGAGGTAAAGAGGATGATGGTTCACTTGGAAGAAGTGAAGAGCTGTTGGTGTCTCTCCCACCACATTTGCCAAATGGGAACAAGGTGGTAAGTTAATATTTGTCCATGTGCGCAAGCATCATATTCAGAAAGATAAAAATGTGAGGAGATATACAGTCCAAATGCTAGAGGCTGCCTGCATTATCCCATCTGAGGCAAATATTTAAAGTACTACCCTGGCGTATAACACAGATGTACCTGCTGGGATCACATTTGACAGTGGCATTTGCTCTGCTGAAGAGCTGCCACAATCTGACTGAAAAATCAGGAGTGCTGCAAAGACCATTGTAAAATTTTTGCKACAGGCTGCAGTTAACAGTAGAGGTTGGCATGGTAAGAAGGGAGAAAGTCTTGAGAGTATGGCCAGTGAGAACAGAGTGTGCACAGATTTGCTCTGCTTCTTGGGGATATTAGCAGCGACTGAATTCTGTGTTACTGAAGTTAGATTGCTTCAAAACCCAAAGCAAACAGTAGCCAGGCAGGAGGCACTTTTAATCTTGTGAAACCTATGAAATTAGAGATTTAATGTGCAGGGACAGGAAAACAACAGACATTATCCACAAAAAGTAAGGTGGAAATCTCTGAGTTTCAGCACATTTTTGTCCCACTAACAATCTGAGAACCAAATATAGTAATAGTAGAATGCATTAGAAAATTGCTAGCATAGTAGCACGAGGAAATTATAATGCAATAAACTGGGCACTGTAACCTTATTTCTAGAGGAAAAAAATACTGCTAAAAATAGTACTTATGTTCTAAACACTGCTTCTTAGGTATACTGTGTGCTCCAGGTGATTCAGTCTGAACCTATGTAGGATTTCAGGGGACTGACCTTTGTATGTTCTATTTTCAGAAGAATTGCTTTCTCTTTTTAATAGCATAAAGAGTCTATATGCATAATTTAGTAGGAGCTTTGATTGTGATTTTAGTTCTGTTTCATGCCTATACCCTTTTTTTTTTGCCTGTGTACAGACAGAAATGAGTAAGTGCTGGAAAGCTGGTGGTCCTGATGGAAACAATCTCAGTCTGTCTGAAAGAGTAAAGGTGAGGTTTTCCCTTATTTCCTTCAAAGTGTGAGTTATGAGTAGATCATGACTAATTTTTGTTTCATTCATTTAGAAAGTATTCACAATTTGCTGGTGTTTTTCTTTCCCATCAGCAGGAAAGAGGAATGACAGCAGTGGCATCCAACGTTTTTTAAAATGTTAATGAATGTGTACTTTTTTAGTATACAGGTTGTGTAAGTGCTAATGAGAACACTTATGTGGGTTGTGTAATGGGTGTCAAATCACTTTGGAAAAAATGATCTATGAGCATCTCTAATTACTACATAGAAATACAGAAAACTATCTCGTGCATGTAGTAAATCTGCCTTGGCAACCCTGCTCACAGGCTTTAGCTTTCCTCTAGTGTCTTCAAAGGCTTCCAGTTTGAAGGTGCGAATTTTGACTAAAAAAATGTTCTGTGTGCTCTTCCACTGCTTCAGCTCAGTAAATCAGGTCTTTTGGAGGGGAAACTTTTTAGGGAGAATGAGAACAGTCTCAACTTCTGTTCTCTAAATTACTCTGCAGTTTGTTCCAATTCATGAAGTTCCATTTTCTTCTGCAAGAAGAAACTCTAGGCTTTAGCTAAAGTGATCAGGTGCGTGGGATAAGTGAGAAAGAATTCTAGTTTTTGAGTCATTTTAAGATTTTCAGAATTTCCATATTGTATAGGTAGCAAGACTGCAGAATTCCAAATTTACCTRTAAGCCAAACAAAATCCAAACTCAAAAAAAACCCTKTTGTTTTGTTTTGTCTTTGTTTTATCTTTCTTCACAGTTTGCTTTTAAGAGTCTCTATTTTGAATATTTGTAAGATTCTGCAAGTTTTTACATCGATCATAAAGGCTGAGGAAGACCTTTCACTCTTACCCAGTGCTGCCTCCAGTAAGGGGGGCCTGTTCTGGCCATTGCCCATTCACGTCACCATTAGTGCCAAAACAGGAGGATTAGGGTCTCCTTTGCCTGTAGCTGGTACTGTCTCTGTGTCACACGCTGGAAACTTGCAAAGCTGCTSAGCAGCTTTGCACCTAACTGCATTCCATGAAAATGTCTTATTCCTCCAAAGAATAAAACATTTGTTCCCACCAAGTTCCTGAAAGTTCACTGCCCTTAATATACAACAACTTTGGCAACAGTTCATTGGCTATGCTTAAAAACATTTCCTCCGGGTTATACATTTCAAAAAGAATAAATGCTGCCTTAGAAAACTAAGAAGGTAGAATGGAGATGATGAAGGAGGCAATTTAGTGATTTCCGCTAGTTTTTCTAAGAGGAATGGATATTTTTAATACATTTTCTTATATTTTCTGATTTTGAGCTTTTCCTGCAGGTGGACAAGTTTTTAGATTTGCAAGATATTGACACAAATGAAGAGACATACAGTGGTAAGCTTTCTGCCTTCATATTCCAAATCATTATGTTTGGATTTGAGTGTATTGATTTTCTGTCTTTCATGATTTTGAGAGACAGTTTTGCAGAACTGTTTCTCCTCTAAAAAAGACAGAGTCCCTCAGTTCCTCTACTGCTAAAAGAGTCCCAAGTACTCCAAAACCAAACCACCTAATTCCTCACTCTAACAGGTAATAAGATAATATGTTTCAAACATTCTTTATGATTCTATGTCTTTGTGAGAAGTGATTTTTTTCAACTAAGATTTAGTTTTAGTAACATTTTTACATTTTTCTACCCTTCTATTTAGTATTGAACCGCTTTCTTCAAATAGTAACGTGGTTGCTAAGAGAAAGGTCTATAAAGCGGAAATATTTAATGAAAATATTGTCTCTACTTATTAGAATTATTCATCTCATCCTGGGCTTAATATAGATTGAAGTAATTTTGAACTCACAGTAAAGTTCTCCAGGAATTCCAGCTGTAAGCAAGTTTTGTTGAACTATTCCATACATCTATAATCATTTTAGCTGTCCCAACTCTAAAAAAGTAAATAGAAATCCAGTGCTTGTATATTTACCTACCATAGGTGCTTATGTGGTCTTTATTAGCACCACAGTGGTCTTTATTAAGTACAGAAATCGAGGATTTCTCTTCTGTGTAGCCTTCACATGCACCATTTTTCTTTCCTTTATTAGAACATTGTTCACATTTTAATTTCTACTATAATCTGTTAAAAAAATAGGACTTCTTGGAGGAAAACTAAACATTTTTTTTCTTGTAATACASGGAGGTTTTTGGTCCTATCCAGTACAGTGGAAAAATTCCCAGGTATTCTAGTTCCAGAGGGACCACAAAGTTGAACCATAGTCCCAGCACCAAYATGGCAGGCAGGGCAGTGATGAAAAAAGAGCTTTGATAGAGCTGAGTGACAGTTTACACTGCCACATTCTATACCATGCCTGCCTTTTTTCAGTCATTGATGTGTATTTGTGTATATATCTGTGCTTGTGCACGAGAGTCAATAGTAATTAGAAATATTTGGAAACACATAGTAAAACAGATTGCATTTAAATAAGTTCAGAATTACAGAAAYGATCATCTGCTTGTGCTGTCTGAATATCACTTTACGCTAGCGTGTTTGGAAAATCTTTCAGTTACTGCTTTTATTGGTGATTATAAAAATAATAATCATCATATTACAGCATTGCTGCTGTAGATTAGCACTATGCTAACTACTAGCATTTTATGAGACACTTGCTTTGGCTTCCAGTATCTGCTCTCCTCAGCTCCTCCCATGAGAAAGGATTCTCTACACAAACTGCCTCAGTGCAGGAGGAGGCCGTATCCACCCCTAAGCAATCTGCAGGGCCCATAATAAGAACATTAAGCATTTATATTGTATTTTATTACCTTGAAACACTGCACAGCCAGGAGCTAATTATTCCTGTAAGCTCTGTAAGGAAAGTAAACAGCTTCCAAATTTATACCTGGGAAASCCACAGCCTGGGTCCTGCCCAAAGCTTCACTGGTTATAGTTATTGAGTCAAGATGAAAAATTTCCCCTTGACTCCTAAGTTAGCATGCAGAAAATAGACCTTATAGCTTGATATTTCTCCTAAATGATGAAATTCATTTGATGGGCTTCATGATTACAGAGGTATAATCCTCACCCCTGGTAGAAGGCATTGTAGCAAAAGGCAAATTAGACCAGAAAATGGTAGCTCTGTTATTGTTTGTAATAATMAAGTAATATAAAATAATATCCCTAATGACAACCTCAATGAAGGATTCATTCTGAAGGATTCCAAGTTGTTTATAAATAAGGCAAAGTGTCACACAAATTTGTAAGGCATTCCCCTGCTGGCCTTTTTATGTGTTGCCACCTATAGTCACAATAGACAGCAGTCTTAGTGTTCATGTTGGCAAAACAAGCCAGGGCATGCAGTAGAGAGGATCATACTTTGCTAGCAGAATTGCGACAAGGTTTTATCTCAGCTTTTATCTTTCATTTTGGTGTTATCTCAGTATCTCTGTCCTCCACTAAGCTTTAAGGGCAGACCAGTTAGCCCAGTTAGYAACTGGGCTACTAGCAACAGTACATCACAGCAATAAATTTCAAACTTAATAGGAAGTGTGCCAGTCAAAAGTGGCAGTGTAAAATGCATGGCTGAGAACAGGCATTAAGACATCCTATCTAAACCAATGTTTTGGGGGGCAGCTCTAGCAGAATCACTCTTTGGGGCTTTTCTTATATTCTTTTTTTCCTTCTGTTTTCTTTTTTTTTTCCTTCTTTTTTATTTATTTATTTATTTTTTTTTTTTGTGTTGCTGGTTACTGCAGACAGCCCTGGGATGAAAGCCTGAAGCCAAGGCTGAGCTTTGCACTGTGGGACTCTGGCACATAAAGCCCGACTGGCAAAGTAAAATTGCTTCCCTAAGCCATAGCTTTAGCCCAGAGTGTAAAGACGRCGTGTGGTTGGTGGGCTGTTTAATCTCTCTTTCTCATTAAATTTAATCTCCAACTGTAAGTAGCTTAAGGCAATAATACAAATCATCATGCTTTCTCCTGGGAGAATGCTTAGCACCCATGTTTTGGCACTAGATTTCTGTTCCGGGACTGCTGACAAATCATTTTCTGCAGGCTCAAACACAAATTGGGTTATAACATGGAATATTTGCATAGAACACAAAGTATAGGACGTACACACTTAAGAGRCCGTGAGTGTGTTATCTGTTCAATACAGAAGCAATAAGAACAGGACTGATTGAATGTTGCTTAGGTTAGGATGCACAGGCAAAAATATCACAGTTTTGTCCTAAGCTGGCTTGGAAGTTTAAGATGCCACAAACTTGTTTTTTCCAAATCCCCACTATCTGTCACCTCCCAGAAGAAAACCCGGGTGACTCAGGTACTTTGAAGCTGAGGCCAAGTACAATTATTTGTTTAAACAAGCAAACAGCTTGTTATGCATTTTGTGTCCATATCTATTTTTTTTTTCTTTTTTTTACGTAATCTGTGTTTTCACCTTTGTATTTTGGGCCTATATTTTCATTTGAGAAAATAAGCTCAGAGAACAGGAGTCAAATTCTGTGGATATTTTTGAAGTATGGAGCTCCTCCTCCACCTGTCATTCTCTCTCTCTTTTTTTTTCTTCCTTTCTCTTCTTATCTCCCCAGTCTCCACAACCCATTTAACACTGCTTTGAGAGGATTTCACACAAGGCAGCTCTTTGGGGCTGGCAGCCTGAGAATCAGAAGAGACAACAAAACTTAGCTTTTAAGCTTTTGCTTTTAGCACTCCCCTCTCCTCAGCTTCCATCAACACTATTTTTGTAAAAAGGAGCCTCTGAAAGTGGTAAAACCTGATCTGGTCTGTCTATAATTAGGCATCATTTGGGTACAGTAAAGATAGATAGTAAAGGCATAGAAAAGACTTCAAACTTCTCCACTCCTGTGATTTCAAGTCGGATTTGTCCAACATCATCTCTTCCCTTCTGCCCTATAATTTTAATTAAGATGTCAGTGATATGAAACAAGCAAAGAAACCAATGCTGCGGCGCTCCCAGATGGGTACTGCTTGCTGCAGAGCCATCGAGGGAGGAAGGGACTACAGTTACCAAACTGTAACTACAGGGAAGGCACTACAGCTGCTCAGTCTCCAAACCTGCCCGGCCTGGGCAAGGTCCCAGGGTCTCTCTGCCACCTCAGCCAGGGAGCTGATTCTCCYAGTGTTAGGACAGAGCCCCATTCCAAACCTCTCCTCACTGTTTTGATATCACTGCCTCCTCAATTATCTCTATATATGGTGCCATTGGCAGTATACAAGGCATTCCTGTTGCTAATTAATCACCTCCACAGAGAACATAATTAGCAGCTTAATTAGGATCATCATCCACTAGTGCTGTAGCATTGGCCTGAACCAGCTGTGAAGTAGCCTGGCTAGAACTTACAATAGCCTACAGCTCCCTTGGGAGCTCCAACTGAGAAGGATGACTGTCAAAACTCCCTAATTTTTCTCACTGAAGGAGTTTCTTGATTAAACATTATCAGGGATAGCAGCCTTTACCGATTAGACTTTCATATGCTGTCACACAGCCAGAATAGAGAGACAAAGCTCATTTCTGGCATGTCTACTGGCAAACAAAGGTTGATTACCACATTCTTATGGAGTGATTGAAGGAAATTTGAAACATTGTTTGCATTACTAACAAGCCTTAAAAAATTAGAAGTGACATTCTGAGTATGACAAGGACTTCTTGCTAAAAGCAAAAATAAATTTCCTTCTGTTGTCCTAATTTTAAGAGTTTTCTTTTGAGCCATTGCCAAGACTGTTGCATAACAGTGCTTCCTGCTCATCTTCTCTCCACACATCGGTCTGTTGGGTTAGGGCAAAGGGAATTAYCTCCTACTACAGAAGTAATGAGTGTTCATATCAGGAGGTGGTACAAACTTCTTGATTTTGATGTCCATTGAAACAATAGTGGAAAATCCTATTGCCTTTGGATGAACATTCACATCTTCCCTGTGTCCTATCCAAATAATTTTCACTCCAGTTATGAAAATGAAAATAGCAGTTGCAGAGCATGTAAGGATGTAATATGTACCTATGGACTGGACTCCAAAACTTTCTGTTTTTCAGAAAACTTTCTTAAATAACTGAAACAGAAAGAGCTYATATACTATTTATGCTGAGAACAAGTACTGAAAGTGCATAAATGGCTAGAGATGGACGTAAGTAACCAAGAGAATAGGGCCAAAAGCAGGAAACAACTTACATGGGAATCATGAATCAAAAGATGAAATTTTTGAAATGAGATCCCAAAAGCAAGAACGTCAGTTCCTTAATAAAGAATATTCCACATGAGAAATTAAAAGTGATCATCCTCCTGGCTTTGGAATTACATACAAATACCAGAATAAAAATTAAATGAAGAATTTGATCATCGATTTTTCAGGAAGGCCTACCTAGAAAATATTTTTTTTCAAATTCAGATTTACGGGAAGATGACAGGTCTATAACTCAACTACCCTTGTGAAGGTGAGCAGTTAGAGACCCATGGTCACTTCTTCTCCCTTCTTACACTGTGCCTATGTCCACTCTTGTTTTTTTCATTTGTTGACATTTAGGCAACACTTTGAAAGTTTATTTTGAGATTTCAAGAGAGAATCAAGCTACTAAAATCTAGTATAAAGCTCTATAGAAGCTTGTACATCAACCATAAAAAATAGCAGGTAGATTTACATAATCCTCCAACTAAACTTTGAGACATATGGTCTCCCTAAATTTCTTCATAAAAACTTTACTGAGACAAGTTGGACACATTTGTGCTATAGCGGATCTGAAATTGATTCATGTGAAAAGATATTTCAAAACCTAAGGTATGTCCTTTGGTACTGCCACAGAAAGCAAACTGCTGCTCCCAGTATGACCATTTTGCTTAAGAAGTGTGCAAAAGGAAAGTGAGTCAGAAATTTGAGATTGAGGACTCCAAAGCCACCAAATTTGTGATTGCATTGCAGACTAAATCCTGCTAGCATGGAAAGGCATACAAATCTCCATATGCTAGATATAAAAAAGTCCTCTTTTTTTGGAAAGCTGTGAAAGGAACAAGCATCTATGAAATATCCTTAAAAAACAGGGACATCAGACAATATATAGGCAGGTGGGGGATACTACTACTTCTATCAGATRCTTTTAGTTAACATTTTAGGGAAATGTGGAAAAAGCTTTCTGGAGATTCTTTATGCCCTGTGTACATGCATAMAGTCAAAAGAGAAGAGACTGATTTGCTAATCAGTGGCAAGACAAGGGGTCAGCCGGGCATTTTGTGTCTCCTACTACAGGTCAGGACTTTCCTKCCTTGTTAAGAGATTAATCTAATCCCACATTTTCTCTGAGTTTATGAATTTCTAGATCTAGAGTTTGGCATTCTCAAGAAAGATGAGTCAGCCATCAATTTTTGATCAAATTAGTTTTTTTCCTTTCCTCTTTTATCTAGATTTTAGCTTAGAACTGCATCTGTTATAAAGATAACTACCTGTATTATATATTAAACCACAGTATGTATTATATATTAAAAAACAATGAGAGTACAACACTTTTTGATTAATAAGTTTCTGTCTCTGTATATTGCAGGATTTTAGGTATTATTTTGCTAATTTATAAACTGAATGGGAAGATAAAGCTGATTATTTTGTATTCAGTAGGGTCATTCATTCTTCCAGGAGAGGTGGAAGAGACGACAACATGCTCTACACTTTCCTTTGATCAGCCTGTTCAACAAAAGTTCAGGACTATGCCAGTTAAACAGCCGTCAGGCAGCAAAACTCAAGAGGTACAAACCAGATTTATTTAAAAACTGTTATTTCATAGAATCATAGAATCATAGAATCATAGAATGCCCAAGGTTGGAAGAGACCTCAGAGGTCATTGAGTCCAACCTCCCTGCACACGCAGGGTCACCTAGAGCATATTTCCCATGGTTAGGTGGGAACCGTATTCCTACCTAAGAACTGGGGCATATAGATGGCGTGTGTGCTGTGAGGTAACAGCGAATTGTTAAATAATAAATTTATAAATTAAATTAATTGTTAAAAGTTAAATTAAGAAGTGAATTCTTAAATACATTAAAAGGTAGATGAGATAAAYACTGTGACAGGATACTTCTGCCTACTTTTTTTCCTTATTTCTGACTTTAAACTGTGTGTGGACTTTTTTATATTTAATTGATGTAACTCATAGAATACTTCAGTAAACTTTTGCACTTTTTGACCTTTTAAAAAATTGTAGCTTGTAAAGAATGACAGACCATTTAATTTCCAGTGATTCCAGGATTTTACAAGATACTGCCATTCTCATTTGCGCTGATTGTAGGAATCATCTTCTGCAACAAGCACTTAGTGAGTGATACATCTAACGTGACATTTAAAAGAAAAAAAGATTTTAGGGTACATCATTGTGATCACAATTGGGATTTGATCTCATGGAAATGAGTGGAAGCAAGTTGTSCTGAAGATCCTGAGCATTGTGTAGGTCTGTTGTGGAAAGGTTTGCCTTATGGGATCTCAGGCTTTTATTTAGAAATAATCAATAAAAATTTTATTTAAAATTGTCATTTTCTCTCAGGAGTTCGGTCCTATTCAAATGGTTAAAAGGAGATATGGATTGCTCACAGGCTTATTTTAAGTCATTAAGCTTCCTATCCAAGCAGCTGGTGTGAGCATTAACTTTGGGGATGTTTCTATAGAAAAGAATTCGTCACCACTTTTCCTCTTGCCTGATCATTATAATAGAATCTGCAGCTAGCTTCTGGCTAAAACTGGGTAGTTTTGAAATTTTCATAAGTTTATTGATGTCCCATGGGGCTTAAATCAAGTTTATAAATTGTGTATGACCACTGGAGAATTGATGATTTTGCAGTGCATATGGTTCCTCCTTTCCAGAGCACATTGTATTTGATTCTTCTCAATAAATGCTTAAAAAATTACCATAAAGACCAAGCCTGCTTTGAGAAAAAGTAGATGTTTTAAAATGACCTCTCAAGCTCTAATGCCCACAATTCTGTAAATAAAAATAATCACTCTTTTCTCTAAGCATTGACGTAATTCAAGGTTTTTGCCTTTAGAAATATTCATGGTACRCAAGAAGATCTAAAATGAGGTATTATAGTTTGCTCATCTAATGACATCTGTATAGAACCGCAAGGGAAATAGGATTGTAGGAGCCTGCCGTGTTCAGAAAGGATTGCATATGACTCTAAGCTATAATTTGTGAGAAATAGATGAAGATTCCACTGCATGCAAAATTCATTTTTATTTGAGAAAAACTTGGGTTAGGCAAGAGAAACTGAATATTCTTACACTGGCAAGAGGTTTATTGCATTTTCCAAGAGTAAAGATATATGATTTATATGATTACCACAGCTATTTGGTTGGTGCCAGGCTTCTCAATACTTAAGATGAAGGCACTCTTTCTCTTAAATTATACACAAAYGTGTGCCTTCATTTAGATGTTATAACTGTGGCCTGCTTTTCAGAACTGCAAAGGCTGAACAGGTTCATTTTAAAATCCCTCAATGTTTCAAATGATCATTGCTTTGAAAATTAAGGCTGCTTCTTATGGCAGGACTTGTTCAGAAAAGGGAAAAGATATTCCCTAGAGACATCTCCACTCTGAAACAACACAGTTCGCTACCCATCAAAACACACCTGTTAGGGAAAGGCTTCCTAGTCTGCAGTTTGGTTTTCCATGCCCTCCAAAAAACAAACAAGCTTAATAGCGCAATGTAGATGTAAGAGAGTCTGTACCATGGACATATTTGTGAAAAACTTCAGGGGAATGTCTATATTTCTTAATGTCTTGCTAGTTAAGTTTAATCTACAAAAACAAGCTCTATTAAGATCCAATATATATGTSCCTAATTGTTAAAGAAAAGCTCTTCTCCCTGAAAATGATTCTTCTGTCAAATACAGTCGGGCAGAGGCTTAGTGAACAACACAGGAAATTGTTTGTTTTGGCCAGCAACTTTGCTTCATCTCCTTGCCTGTCTGCTTGGCATACATTCCTGGATTTTGATATATACGCTGCAGCATATATGATCTCCCATAGACCACTGCCAAATGAAGTTGCATCCACTCCATGGTTGAAGCACATTATCACAGATCATTTACCCTCCATACCCAGATATTTATGCTTTCCTTTATTTCTACTTATTAATTAATAACATGAAAGATGGAGTTTTAAAACATGAACAGTGTAAGTTAGTGTCTGCCTTGCAGCTCATTTATTTGTTGCTATTTCCACCCCACATATGTCAGAGTGAAGCTGAATATGTATTTTCTATCCACTCACTATTCACATATGTGTGAAGTGGGGTTCATCTCACCTAAATATAGCTTTAAGTTTAGGCTCATTTGGTYCTGTCATCATGGGAAGACATAAACACTTCCACAAAATGATTCATCCCACTTGCTGCAAGCATTTGTCCTAAGAGGTAAATTACCTCCAGTCAGAAGCTGACTCTCAGACTGCTACTTTTTTGGCTGACTGACTACCAAAATCTAGAAGCCTAACTTCTGTACGGCTGGGATTAGGAAAGATAAATTCTTCCACTTTCCGTCATCTATCTTTAGTTTGAGCATTTGAAAAAAAGTCTTTACAGTGGCTTTCATTTTAGCTTTATATGTGGAATGGAACCTAAGTTATGGAATTTTAAGCCTAACTGGTACCAGTTAGGCATTGACTTCCTTTGGTTTAAGATTTCAATCATAGGTTTCGACTAAGGTTTGCTTATGCTCACTGCTATGCATAAACACAAAAAGAACACAGAAGATTTTATAACTTGAAGACAGGATTTATGCAGTGAAAGAAAATGGATGGATTGTTTCTTTAGGGAGAACAATAAAGACACAGAGTGACTTGTTCAGGTGGGGAAGCAGAAGTAGCAAATGGGCCAAGAGGTATCGTTCACAACCTGGTGCTCCATGCTCAAACTTTATTTTCTCCCAAGGACCCCRGGAAGGTATATACGCCTTTCCCCCAACTTTTTTACACCGTGTTATTGACTTAGTCAGTTTGAATAGACATGAACTCCTCAGTGAGTATGTGTGCTTCCTTGACATAATTTAAATAACTGAATCATACAGTTCCCRTAATTATACAGAAACACAGAAGGACAGGACTGGCTGTTTAGTTAACGGTAACTCCGCATATTAATAAAGAGAACCAAGTTGCCAATTATTAATAGACTTTTAATTAGTAGTCTCAACTTTAAGGTATTTTGCTTACAAGATTACTTTGTAAAATAGCCTTTAGAAAAATACTTGCTATTAATATGAACATTACATTATTCTCTAATTTGGACATGGAGGGGCTGTAAATGATYCTTTCTTCAGATGTGTCTCTGTTTCAGTTAATCACATAGGTAATCTGAAGCAAACTGGCAGTTTTCTAATAGGGCAAAATTCTATTCCAAGAGAGCTTCCGAAAAGATTTCAATTAGATGTTAAATGAGACACCTGGAATTCACATATTTCACTCAGCTCCTTAGGCAAAAATAACAAGATAATAACTTGATCAGCTCAGAGGATTTGGTGTTTTATTGCAAAATGTCTTCCTTTTAAAGTGGATCAGAATTACAGTTTGCAGTCTCAAAATTTTAGATTGCTTGTCTGTGTGGAAGGTTGAGATGAATGGCTTCTTGGGAGAARGAAAAAAGAATACTCAGTGCTTTGAGAGCACACAGATAAATATGCAGTGTGAATAAACTGTTCTGAATGTGCAGTGAATGCATAACTTTTTTTTAACAAAAGCTTTTCCAGTATTTCTCTACATCTGCATCAAATATTACTGCAGTGACAGGAAGGTCGAGACAAAGGCACAATGAATAAGTGTATACTTTCCATTACTATGCTGAAAACAGGAGGAATAGATTTGATTTTGTAGAATCCCAGTGAAGGTTTAATGTAATTTTAAGTACTGCAGTTGGAATTATCTATAAATACAGTTACAAACACTGTTACAGTCAAAGTAACTGAAAAAGTATTTGCATATTGCATTATATTTTAGAAGGATGTTCTGGTCTTCAGCAAAGAAAAGACAGGTAACAAGGAAACCTAGTTACCCGGTTACTGATACCCTTCCTGATGTGGGGTTTTAGTAACCTCTGCCCATGGGAAAGATGAAACTGGTCATGATTGTGATGAACAGGTCCAGGCTCCTTGTGTGCCTGTTTTGCCCCATGTAAACTTGTCTTGAATGTGCTGTTTATAAGAGTTAACTATGGCTTACCTGTAATAGTCTGTGAATATGAGCAAGACAATGTTTGCATACAGAATTAATACCTTTTGCTAGAMCAGTTCTTTCCACGAATGTTCATTGTTAATTCATAAATGCGTATGGTCTACAGTTCTCCAACTAAGATGATTTTTATGCTACAGCAGCTATTGAAGAGCAGGTCCCTAAAGCATGGAAAAATATAGACACTTAGTGAAAATTAAGCAAAACCAGACAAATATTCTGGCTATGCTACAACTTCCATGTTGTGGCAATGGATTTTAACAAGGATGTAGACACTTGCAAAATACTCACCACCGTGTCTAATGATCATATGCCTTGGCCCTGGCAAGGAATCTACTTACCACACTTATCACTTACTAGATGGCATTAACTGAATCCATGCAGCCTCTTCCAAAATGTTACCAGAAATTGTGTGGGATTCTGTGTTTCTAAATTGAGTAGTGACTATAAGATGCTGAGTGTTTTTCCTCTTGTTCAATAAAACAAGCAAGTGCATGTTTAACTTCAGACACCTACATAGTCACTGGTTCGAATAAGCATTCATCAGACATTTGGAAATAAGCATGTGTTTAAATGCTTTGCCAATTTGGGGCTCTCTTTGAGATCTGCTGTCTATCACGGCTGTAATTTCTAGACATGTTCTCCTAACCTCAGGAAGCATCCTGTACTGCTTGGGCAGTGAGTATGCCTCTCCCCTGCCGTTCTGCAATTCATTTTTGGCAGCTATTTACCATAAACCTTTTGTGCTGTAGCCCCCTGCAGTTTCTTATCAGTGTGCAGCTTATCAGAGTTATTCTTTTAAATTATTTTATAAGCAAAGAGATTCTTCTAAGACATTTCAGTGAGAAGTAATACAGAAATGCTATACAATATGTCAGCTAAGCAAGTATTGGCAAATGCAGCAAGACTTTCTGTTCATCGTCCAAGAAATCTAAACTAGCCAATCCCCATTCCTGAGATAGTTAAATTATTAGAGCCTGAAAATCGATTAGATGTCATTCTACTCATTTTATGCATTTCCTCTGCTGGAACTGTGTTTTGGGAAACATGCTATATTAATACCAGATGCAAGTACACTGAAATTTTATGTAATACTAGCCCAGATTTTAAGGATATGGAATCTGTCTTTGAAATTTAACATAGCTGTACATAACTTGTCCATATCCCTGCAGCCCTGCTGCTACAAGTGCTAGAAATGTAATAGATCTGTGCAAAGGAGGTTTTTAGATTCCTTGCCTCAAGCAAAATTAGCTAATGATATTCATTCAGATACAGTACAGTACAAATGGGGCGCATTAAATGGCTTAAATTGGGTCAAATTGAATAATTGAATTTATTCTTTTACTTAAAAACAACTTAATCAGCTGAGAGTGTTRGAGTCTGAAAAAATAGGTTAATTAAATATTAATTAAAAGTTTGTACTTTGAGCTTCCTTGTCATTACTTGCAACAATATTATTTATGTATCTGTTTTTCCTTGCTGCAGCTACTAGGGGATGATGTTCAACCATTCTCACTTGATGAAGAATTTGATTATGACAAYGCGCCTTTGACCCCTAAGTTCTCTGAAGCTGAGCTGAAGGCCATAACAGACTTTTCTGAAGAGAAGAAAATGGAGACAGATGTGAAGTCAGCAGGAGYGGAAGACTGATTCAGATGCACCTTGCATGGCATTCAACAGCATTCAACAGCAGTGCTGTTGAAATAACATTGTAAGGGGGTAAATCTAGTTCCCTGTTTAATCTTGTTATCTGTGTAGTCTGTAACATCCTCAAGATTTTTTTATTTATTCCTCCAAAGTGTCTTCGAGCCCTGAGATTTTCTTTCTGCCTACCTGTCTACCTTCTTCTAGTTCATGCATCCACGGAACAGAAGGGCTGCTGTGTAGTAGCCCCTCAGCCAGCAAGGAAGTACTTTTTTCTCTTTTGTGTGTATGTACATAGACTTGTTTCCCAGAGTGCACGAGGCAKGTGGAAGGGTATCTCCAATGACAGCCATGAATTCTCTTTTCTAGAAGAATCCTTGGGTAGGGTGAAGCCTGCACTGCCTCCAGCAAGCAGGCATGAATAAATGCTCCTTAAAACCAACACAAGCAGATGCAGTTCAGAATAGCTGTATGGGCACTCTAACTTGTACYTGGTAGTGACTCCAGCTCCTGAGTAACTCAAAGCAAGTCCCAGAATTGTCTTTGCCTATTTCATTCCACACTGCAGGTGAGAACTTTATGCAGCCAAGGATTCAGCTTTTAATTTCTCCCTATCTCTATTCAAAGATAGAGAATTATACTAGCAAATAAATCCAGGAATGTTTTTTGTCTCTAGGTTATTTCAGTTCTGCATACAAATAAATATTTGTATTTCCAATAAACTTTTTAAAACAGATGATCAAAATTGACTCTATGCAACTGCTGGTAATTAAAAAATTAACTGTTACTAGAAATCTTCCAGAAAGAAATTGGCACTGAAGCGCTGCCAGATTGCCAGATTTTTTTTTACAGAAGATGATTCCAGATAGTAGTTTAGCACTTAAACTTAGCATCACTCAATACAGAGAACTTTGGGGTTGAGAAAGTATGCATAGTATAGGTGGGAGAGAAGATCTCTTAACATAGGATATTATGTACTCTTGCCATAAGGTGTTTAAAATTCAACTTTTTTCAGCTTATCAAAGGAACTTTCTTCTRTGTGTTTGCTAGAAGGATATGGAGGACACAAACTATACATCAGTCCTACTGGAGTCTTACTACCACTACAGTCAATGACAAAACTTGTTCAAGGATTCAAAACAGTTTTCAGGTCAAATCAACTCCGGAATTTCTACATGCATTTTCTATTCATTTCATTAGCAATTTCCCCCAGTACATTAGGGATACATTCAGCCATTCAGTTCCTTCTCTCATAGGCAGACGATTCTCTTCCCAAATGTTCAGACTACATATTATGCTCTGTAAGGGTCATTCAGTCTATTCATTATATGGTTCTGTTAGATTTGCTGCAGAATATCCCAACAAAATTGGAACCCTCTAATGACATTCATTTTATGTAAAGAAATGGGGATAATGCACTTACATTTACACCACTCATGAGTTATATTTTTGCCTTTTATTAACTGAGATGAATATCACAGTGGAGATTAAGCCACACAGRCTAGATTTTCTGCACATCTCATTCTATTGACCTGCCTCTGTTGTTGTCTTTGCTTTGCTTATGAACCCAGCCTTGTTGGTGAATTCACTGGAAATCGGGGCTGTCTGATGCATCTCCCTAATTCCTTTGTCTCCTTGGCTTCATTAATGTCTGCAGTGCAGTAGACATACAAATCCAAGCTAGTCAGAGAGCTTGTCAGTATTAAACTTGTTGCTTAGGTGGTRTTTGCAGAAGTTCACAGTCTGAATAGATCCTGGGCAATGGAGAGGAGCTCCTTGAATTCTGAAATGAATGGGTTAGGTATCTGAAGAGATGTTTCCTTGGCTGGCCATGATCCAAGCATAGGTATTAAATGCTGAGTTATTCCTCATGGATATAAGATGAAGAGTAATTATTTGCTGAGATAATGATAGTARAAGAAGAGATAACAATTAAGAAAATGAAAAGAGGTGCAGACAGATCTGTCTGACTCAAACATTATTATAGTTTTAAATATATTTCTATTAATGCACAAAGGCATGGTTATATATGGTTGTATACACACAGTAGTACTGAAAGCAAGTAATTCTAGWGCAGAGAGCGCTGACAAGATAATTCAGAACACGAGGAAGAAGGTGGCACAAAAACAAATACCTACTCTTACAGAAAAGACCCTTTGATCCTCTGGCCTTGATTTTGTGCTGCTATAAACTGTCAGAACTCCACCGAGGCAATTTATATTCATACAGAGCAGACAGGACCCTGGTATTTGCAGTTGTAGCTGAAAGAATACGGAGCCATTCATTTAACTTTACTCAATATAAAGCAATGTATATGACCAATTATCTTTATGGAAAAGCATTTAAATACAGAACCAATGCAAATGAAATCTAAAAATTATATCTTATTTGTTCAGTTACTAATTTTACACAGACCATTTTAGAGTGTTTCTCTGGTGTTGTTTGCTCAGAACATGGGCTTTTTCCTTTAATAAAAATATCAGCTATATTTTCAAGTCATGTTCAAATTACAAAACTTGTGTATATATGCAGATCTTGGTAGATACTAATAATTTGCTTCTCTCCCTCTCTCTCTCTTTTTTCTCTTCATCTTGGAAAGGTTCAAATTTGCTTTATCTTGAAATTGTTTTAAAAAGACTTATCATATTTTCATATTTTCTGTAAAAAAAATTTCATATTTCATGTCATATTTTCTGTAGAAATACTACAAAGTAGGATTCTTTCAGTTAGTGATGGAACTGAGCTTGGATTTATATCTTCCTGTTACAGAAATCAAAATAGGACTAAATTCTTAGTTATTCAGCAACTTAACATAGGGCATGGTTTGGCTAAACAGCYGCTTGATATCAGGCAGTCCATTTGGGTAGCAGGCTGATAAATGTCCTGGTGTCTGCTGGACAGTTATTTCTACTCAGTAGTCTTAAGTGACAGCTTTGTTCCACCTAGGTACGATCTCTTACAGCCCTGTAAAGAGCCAAGTCAGTTAAAATGACCAAAGAAGGTGAATGGGGGGTTGCTCTGCAGCGCTCTGTGTGTGAAGACTTGTGTCACGACTGCCATGAGCATTATCCTTCTGAAGGTGCCAAACTGGAAAGTGATGATGGACATGGGTGGGACGCAGTGTCACRGGAGCCGCTTGCCTCCTGGGGCTGCTTGCCGAACCCACCACCTAGTTCACTATCTGTGGCTCAGTGTAGGATCGCTGAAGGTGCACAGTGAAGTGGAGCAAGCCCTTGATGAGGGTTCGGGCTGGCCTCGGGAGACGAGTTCCCCGCACCGCTGAGATGAGCTGCGGTGGTAGCTGGGGGCACTCCTACTGCCGCGGCCTTTCTTGTGGCACCGTGTCTGTTGGCGCAGGTGGGAGCGAGGTGCTGCGTGTGACCGGGGCTCCTCGCGGAGGCCCTGGACCCTTCGCCGAAAAGCAGCTTGGCCAGGTGCGAGATCCTGCCAGGTGCTAAATGTCTGCCCGCCCTTGTGAAAGCAGGAACGGCCGTTTTCCCTGAAACGGGGCTGACGGACTTCTGGGACCCACCAAATCATTGTGAGTCTGGTAAATCTGTCACCTTGGAGGTGACAACTTGTTCTGTGCTGGCAAGGTAAGATAAGGCAAAGTTGCAGGTGTAGGAGCTGTGAAATGCCACAGAATTAAACTGGAGATAGCTTTCGTGCTGGTTTATGAGAAATTTGCAGGAAGAAAAGCAAGTGTTAAAAGGTAATGTCACTTTTATAGACAGGCTAGTTTATTTGCAATTGCAGTGCCTCACAGTTAAAATGGAAATCAATTTTAATGCCTTATGAAAATGCAGGAATATTTTTCTCATTTACAGCACTTCCAAAAAAGACAGATAATAAAATTCCCCTGATTAACGATCTATAATTTTATGTGCTCTGTGGTGTCCTTTTCAGTACATCTATCCACATAAACATGTTTCAAAATAATAAGCAAAGATGGATCTGAAAAAAACACTAAATCTAACTTCACACTAAATTTCAGGTTGTAACAACTGTGTATTCAAAGCCATCTTTATATATTTTGAATATTGAGATATTCTCAAGCTTTTGGGAAGCAGAAAATATTCTAAAAATCTCTAACCAAGTATTTCTGAAGCAACCATTCAGTACCTATCCAGACCACAAAAAAGCAGAGCAATCAGGGGCATGCCTATATAAAAAGCATTTACAGAATGTAACAATTAGGATAACTGCATCCTAAAGTACGGTAATATTACTCTATAAAATAACTCTTAATATAGTGGAATTAAATGGAAAAACGTATATTTAGAGAGTGAACCAAATACAAACACTAAAATACTCTGTTCACTTGATAGGGTTCTCAGGTTCTCAAAAATGTTTCAGTGCCCTATTGAAAAAATAGTTTAATCACTTAGTAATTTATCTCGATTTACAGCACATTTATCTCTTGACTCATTCAAAGGAGATAAAAAATTATGTGAGATTCTTCAGTGTATTTTGTGGCATGGCTAATACCATAAATTAAAGCTTTAGCCTGATTGTATTGGATTTTGTAACAGAATTTGCTCTTCATAGCTGTTGTGCTTGGGCGGGCTGTCACTGTGGTTTCTGGAGTGCACCAGGTGCGTACTCCCAGCAAGTAAGCTATAGTAGTTGCTTTTTTTTTTTTTTTTTTTTTTTTTTTTNATATGCTTTTCTGGTCATATATAACAAAAACATGTAATATGTAATATTACATGGTGATACATGCATAATTCTTTGAAGGAGGCAAGCATCACTTGTTGTGTGGCTTATGCTCCTCCGAGTACTATAGCTGCAGGATAAATTCTACTSCTTATGTAGAAGTTTTGATTCTGCCATTTAGATTTGCTGTAGATGGCATATTTGTTCTTTAAGAGAGAAATGTTGAAGTGTTTTCCTTCTCATTTCCTTTTGATTTTTTAAATTTTTTCTCTTTCTTGTGTCAGATTTACGACCGACTTCCCTAAACATGACAAGACATTAATCCAATGGACTACTTGCCTGATGGGTGAAATTTTACAGTAAAAAAGACGGGAGGCTGTTGTTTAGGCCAGGGAAAATCAAAGCACTGTTAGCATTTCCTGCACAAGCTTAGCATTTGCAAGGCTTTCAAAAACAAACAAAAATGCAAATGGTGGTCAGTCTGTGTACTGAATGAAAATCTAAATCCAGATTGCCCTTGTTTAAGTCAGCTGCTCCCACTTCAGTTCGTCTGCCCACCAAGGATTCTGTTAACTAGTGTATTTCAAAAGCCAGACTGTCAAAAACACTGACAGCTAGTGCTAGCTGAATAACATTTCCTCCATGCAATCCATTTAAAGCTTTTGTTTTAGCTTGCAAAACAGTTCTTGAAATCCACTGATATTTTTGTCATCCGTGAACTTCATTAAGTAGACTGCATAAAAAATAATGGCCCAGCAGGTATCTCTCTGCTGAGAGCAAGAGGAAGGAGAATAATGGGGGGAGCCGCTGGCTGGACAGCAGAATATTTACTGYGCTCTGAATGTGATGTTTGCTGTGTTGTTTTTGATTCTTCTGCAATATTAGTGTGAGAAACCTGTTTGTCAAAAGAGATGGCAAAATAATAGTCCTCCCCACTCTCAAGGAAAAACACAGATGCTATCCAAATTTCAAGAGTGTTATTACTCATTATGGACCACATTTTACAAGTTACTTGAAATTCGGGGTATTTACCAATTCATGAGATTAAACTCTGAACACAGATATCCAAATGAGTGTTTATTTGGTACTGCTCAGAATTTCATACCTCACAAAATTTYATTTTTGAAATGAATATTTCTTTGATACTTTTCATTTCATTGGGACTGCCCCAGAACCAACAAAACAAAGTCATCCTTCAGAAGTTGTATTGAAAGCAAGTAACTTGGGTTGCTCTGAACAGAAATGATGGAATTAAGATAAAGTAATGCTAAGGTTGGAAAAAAAGGGTAAACATTTGCTGARATCTGCTAGACCAAGGAAGAATTTCTCTTGGAATTCTTGGTATCACTTCTGCTTGRTACTTTCATTCCACTACAGTTGCCCCAGAAGCAACACACCAAACATTTGTCTACTGTGATTAGATTCTTATATATGATTGTAATTCACTGGGACATTTTCAGTCAATTTCAGCTTACCAAGAAGCTCCCTCAGAAGAACAAATATTTTTTATTTTTCTTTATGTTCCAAAATACACCTCCACGTAACCCTGTCTTGCCCTATCCTCCCAAAAGGAGTTGCTAGAAGGTACTATCAGTGCCTAGACCATTTACCACTTGTTAGTTTAAACAGAGTTTTCAATTTTGCTTTTCAGTTCACCTTTCCTAACCTTTCTTTTCCAGATGGAATATTATTTGTAGTGCCAAGAACTGAAGAAACAAAATCTATGTTTCTTCAAACCAGCCGCATCCTATTAGCATTCAGAAAGATGTTTGCTCATGTATTCAGTAAGAGAGGAAACTGATTGCTGCTTCACAGTGAAGTTTCGTTGGTTTAAATGCTAATCGTTTTAAGCACTCTGGAGTTTTCTGTGGCCTCTAGGTCATTTTTTTTTATAATGGTTGATAAAATCTCTCACAAGAAGGGGAGAAAAAAGTACTTCACTGGCCTAGTTTCAGGTAGCCTCTAAAAGCTCAAGTGGACCAATTACACATAAAAGAACAACAACTTTTTGTGAAGCTTCATTTGAATCCCAGAGGAACAAAATGATCGAAAATCAATTAACTTTCCACATGAAAAAATAGCTCATATTGCTAAGCTTTCCTTCTTGATTATGTTTGGAAGCAAATTGCCTTGATTATACCTTTGACGGGGAGGAAAGGCTTTTAATTAATTCAATACATACTATAGCAGTGCTAAATTGTATCATGGAACAATTAAGTGGGCCCACACCGATATTTTTGCCGTGTTGAAAATGGCTATTGCTCACTTAGTGAGTCATGCTCTTGCTGGGCTGACGCAATTATCTCTTCATTGCAGAGCATGTGACATAAAAGCTATTAGGGCCTTTTGTATATAAGGGAAGCTAAA